GTTGGCCACGCGCCCTTTCGGGGAAAAGAGGCAGGCTGCGGAAGGAGCGGCGGCGTACGCAGCAGCGCGAATGGGTCCGCAACCGCCGCGAAGCCGTTGTCACCTCGACTTCCACTGCGTCCAGCGCTTCAGATTCCCTTGCCAAAGAAGAGCACATTGCTCGCTTGGAAAGCCGCCGCCAAAAACAGTATCAGCGATGTAAAGGGCGCCGGCGGGCCAACACCATGGACAACGATCGTGCCACGGAGGCAAAGCGCAAGCGGTTTGTCGTCACGTGCGTAGTGTGCGACCGACTCTGGTTCGCAAGAGACGTATCCACGATCGGCGGCGTGTTGGACGAGAAGAAGCGGGGAACGGGCGCATGCGCGTTGTGGCAGTGTATCGAGTACAGCTCCGCTGGTCTTCCTTCTTCACGAGAGTGGAAAGGCTGAACATTTTTTTTGTGTGAGTGTGTGTGTGTGTTTGCGTTTAGCTTGTACCTTGTTTGCCGGCTTGGCAAGCTTGCGCTGCTGGACTGTTTTTGTCGTATGCTCGACAGTTATATTTTGCACACAATTTTGGGAATCAGTTGGCGATGGAGCGGAATGGCATGATTTCGGTTCCGATCGAACAGCTGAGACACCTGTCGCTTCCAGTATCGAATGCGGATTCCAAGCGCATGTTTTCTCAAACTTCACAAACAAAAACTCAATTGAGAAACAAGGTGAAACTGGACATCCTTGTGGCGATTCTGAGACTAAAGTTCGGGCTGCGGCTGCAAGAAAAAACGACCTCCACATTTGACGTGCCCATCGAGCTTCTTAAAAACACCTGCCCTCAATTACTCCAGATGTGTGAGCATTTATTCACGTTGATTAAGGCTGTACATAGCCTCATTTTATCACTTCGTATGACAATTCTTTGTTGTATGTTTGCTTACTTTTGACGAAAATCTGGCACGTTGGGAACCAGTAAAACACGGTGGCAAGCGGTTTTTCGGAATCGCTTAGCAATGCCTACAGTACTGTACACTTCTGGGATGTCTCAGCAGTAAAAACACAAGCAGCGAGTTCCGTCACAACACGTCACATCAGAACACAACACAACACAAAGTGTCCTTCCTTTGTACAGCACTTAAAATTAATATTTTTTATTTTTCTAAGAATATCTGCTCCAAAACACTGTTTTGGATTCTCCAATGGCCACATTTTCTGCTCCAAAACACTGTTCTGGCTGCTCCGAAAGGTGCACCAAAATGGCTTTGGCCAATCACATTACTGATCATTTTATTCAAAATCATAATAGAAGATTTGTATAAAAAAAAAACTACAAAATATACGTCAAGTAATTTGACAAAAATAAACTTTAATAAACCCCGAATTTCCAATGAAAAATAAACTCTGAAAAACACCCTCACAATTTCACACACACAAAAAAAATTCACAGAATTTTAATTATAGTACAATTTTTGGTTCACTCTTCCTAGCTTGTGTTGGCTGTAGGTAGAATGCCTCTGAGCTGGTGTTGCAGCACACACCTGCATGAACAAAAACCACATTCATCAAGATAACAAAAAAAAAAAAAATCTTTCATGCAAGGTTGTTGCTTTTGTGTTTGTGAGGAACCTTGGCAAAGGACGGCAGTGAGTTCTTGTGAAATCGCTGGAATCAATGGGGCATCACCTGTGACAGCACAGACACCTCAGGAAACAACGTTTTGACATTATTACAAGTCGGGTGCCAGTAATTTGATTTCTTATAAGTGCCTACAAATGGGCCTTCGTCACCTGATACACACCAAGGCAGTGCAGTGAGGTGTGGCTGTGTTCTTCAATTCAGAAATTTTTTCTTATTCGAAGTAACAAGAAAAGTGCTTCTCTGTCAGACTTTTGGACTGATGTGAGACGGAGCTTCTGATTGGCAGAGTTAATTGAGAGTGCCGTGAATCTCTCCTACTAGCTCTTTCATGATATATAGATATCTTGGGGAAGCTGACCTAAGCTAACCTAACCTAACCTAGCCTACACCTAACCTAACTAGGGTAGGTGTTGGAAGAAATGCAATGTCTTGGGCCAATTATGTCAGCACAGTGCAATCCTCTTATAACGATACTACATATAACGATGTATCACTTTATGATCAGTTTCTAGACTAGAAACTCGGCTTTTAATCCAGATAAAACGATAATGAGGCATAATAATTAAGTTTTTGGGTTTTCTCATTGTCGTTGTGAGTGGACTCCACTGTACAATGTTATCTGGGGACCAATGAGAAGAGAAGAGACAAAATAAACATACTAAATCTGATGCAGTATTTGCAACTATAACGCCCTATAGGTGGTGGGGTGGTAGGTCCAAGATGGCGGTGACGCTGGTCAGCACGCTAAAAATGATTTATTTGTCTACAAATGCAAAGTGGTTAGTGCAGGATCATATTACAGGTGACGGAGATGTTGATGCCTAAACGTAAACATTTTCGACAGAGTTCTGTCTGGTTAAGGAGAAATTGACATGGTTTTTGCAGACTCTAACCAAAGTTTTATTAAACAACACATAAACCTTCCTCCGGTATGTCATGGTTTAAAGACCTTCCTCCGGTGTGTGGATGATTGTTTCTGCAGTGTTCGAACTCCGTTGAACCGTCGATTCAGTTCACGGTGGAGCGAGAGACTGACGGCGTGCTCCTGTTTCTGGATGTGAGCGTCAAGAGAGCTTCTGACGCGCTCAACTTCGCGGTATACCGAAAACCTACGCACTCCGGTAGATACCTGGACTTTGAGTCGTATCACCCCACATCGCACAAAGCCTCAGTGGTCAGCGCCCTTTTCCAACGGGCGCTGTCCGTGTGTTCCACGGAGGAGGCCCCACGAGAAGAAATTAAGAAGATCAAAGCTGATCCAGTTAACAACGGTTACCCAAAGCGGTTCATGAACGACATCTACAAACGCCTACGCCGCCCCCCTGTAAATCCGGCCTCGAGTCCGTCTAATCGGATCTGTCTCCCCTATGTGAAGAATGTGAGTGAGACTGTCGGACGTGTCCTTCGGAAACACGGCATTGCCGTCTCCCACAAGCCCGTGTCTACCATCCGTCGGCGGCTTTTTCTCCCCAAAGACAGACCAGGAAGGGAAAGGGCTCAAGGTCTCGTGTACCGCGTGCCTTGCGCGGATTGCCCGGTCGCCTATGTGGGGGAAACGAAAAACTTCCCGGATCGTATTCGACGACGCAAATATGACGTGAGATAGAAAGACACTGAGGCCAGCGCCCTGGCAGAGCACGAGCAAAAAATGGGGCAATCTTTCTCCCTCGACGAGACCCAGATCGTGGCCACCGAGGGACGTTGGAGGAAACGCCTTCATCTAGAGTCCTGGTTTATCCAAACAACGTGTAAGAACGTGAACCGGTCTAAGGGCACTCTCCCGAGCGCGTACGTGTCTGGACTTCGTGCCCTCTGGGGTAAGCCTTAGCAAGGCCAAACGCCCGGGCAACTTTCCACACCGCGCCCCCTCCCCCGCGCCCTCTGGGTTAAGCCTTAGCAAGGCCAACCACCTGAGCAACCTTCCCCACCGTGCCCCCACCTACAGTCACCCGTGACCAAGGGACCGAGCGGGTCCGAAAACGTCAGGTATATGGGTTTTTTAATAAAACTTTGGTTAGAGTCCGCAAAAACTATGTTGATGCCTGTTAGGAAAACGATCATGCTGATATCTAAAAGTTGCAGAAACCTAAACTTGCGAAGCTTGGTGGTGGGCGAGTGAGTTTTAGGCACCGGCCACGTCACTTTTTGTGGCAAAATATTTTTGAGAGTGATGAAGATATTGTGTTTGCGCTTTGCCTGGCCATTTGTGCTCTAAAAAGTGAGCCGCGCACGGTGACCGTCCAGCTCCGGAAGAGCACCGCTCGCAGTATTGACGTCTTCGTGTCAAGCTCACAACTCGCTGCTCACCATCTCGATTTTAGTGTATTACAACACGTGATCAAACTGCTTTCTAGTTATTGATAGGAAGTGTTACCGCAGGCTACCGTGCGATGTAGCATGACAACCGGAAGCTCGCGCTGCACCTTTGAAGCACAATTTTCAGTGCGCACCAGGAGCATTACCGTGCTCCCGGTAGCCAACGGTAGCTTGCAATAACGCCATGCTAAAACTGCCTATTACCACAATCGGCGTGCTTAGTGGTTTTATTTATTTCTCTATCAGAAATAAATATTTTAATATACCGTACATTTTTTGTACTGTGTTATTTTCAACATTGCGGCCCCTCTCACCAAAACTGCCCGTTCTAAGCTCTCGTCACGAACGGCCGGCTAGCACAGACGCGCTTAAAATGCTTCTTGCATTTATTTATTTTCTTTGTGATTACTTAAAAGCAAGTATGCATATTCTGTCTTTTGAAAGTGCTTGGAATAAATGGCCATTTTCCTTGTAAGGGCCTTAAAACGCGAACGCATTTCAATGTGCATTGCTCGATATACCGTTGCGCGACGAGTATTTTCCTACTTAGGGCAAAGAATAGACTTTTCATAGACTGTACACTAGAGCACCACATTATTAGCGGGAGCATTTGCCGACACGTTGAGCACAAATTGAGCTGGCAGCCATGCTCAAGACCAGAAATCCGCAGCGTATGCGATATACGAAAAGTCCCTGATGAAATTCGACATCCCGTTCCTTCGTGCAACGCTGTTGCAAGGTGGAGCACAATAATTGCTATTTGAACACGCTCACTTTTTTCGCTAAAACGGCTTCACACATCAAGGCCGACTGTCCCTGCCACCGTTTTCGCGCCGCCACCGCCACTGCTTCCCCGCTCCTCTGGTTCTTCGTTTGTCAGCGAGAGGGCGAGCGGCGGCCTGGAGTTGCAAATACAAATTAATAAGGATGTTGTATGACCATATAATATACACCAGTACCTGTGGCATCCCCATAAGGGATTATATTAATTTATTATGGCCACTTTATGTAAATGTTCAAGAATTGTGGGTTTTGTTGTTATACAAACAATTAATTTTTCTATTTCAGGTTTTCTCGTGGTTGACTTTGTGCAGTCATCACAAGATGGCGAGACCTACCTCAACAAGTTGATGCAAGAGAGGAATGACTACAATGGATTCCTTCTGATCACAGTAGAAACAAAGTAAGTGTGATGTGCATCCTGACATGCCTCTTGGTGCTTTCTGGTATGGCCTGCAGTGTGGCGTGATAAAACAATTATATATTGGAGTCGGGGTTCTCCCCACGGTGGGCGGCAGTGGCTTTGCTTCCCACCGCTCCGACTCTCCGACAGTCAGAGCAATGGGCTCTGACTGATCGCTCCGACGGTCAGTCAGAGCCCATTGCACTGACCAGAGGTCGGCATTTTAGGTAGCCCTCACTCACCCTCACCCTCACAGCCACACTCACCTAAGCCCCTCACTCACCCTCACCCTCACAGCTACACTCACCATGAGCCCCTCCCTCACCCTCACAGTCACACTCACCTTCAGCCCTTCACTCACCCTCACTGAACCTCACGGCCCTCACGCACTCACGGCCCTCACAGCCCTCACGCCCCTCACCGCCCTCACAGCCCTCACGCCCCTCACTCACTCATGGCCCTCACAAAACTCACCGCCCTCACGCCACTCACCGCCCTCAAGGCCCTCACGGCCCTCACGGCCCTCACCACCCTCACGGCCCTCACGCACTCATAGCCCTCACGCCACTCACCGCCCTCACAGCCCTCACCGCCCTCACGCCACTCACCGCCCTCACGCCACTCACCGGCGTCACCGCCCTCACGCCACTCACCGCCCATTAGGAATACTAATGCACCTTTCTGAAACGGTTTATTTCCAAAAAACGGTTGATTTCAAACCAGAACCAAGTCTTTCGGTGCCATCATCACCGGCACGAGGTATCACGTGAAAATGTTGCGTCCCTAATTGGATGCAGCCGCTTCAAACATATTTGAATTGCTCCAAGTTGCTTGCTTATTTCGAGCCGGACCCGATCTCAGCAATTCGTGTCGATCTAGGGAAAGCTAGAGAACAACCCGTCATTAACACCAAAATTGCTGAAAAAGATGCTCGATCTGAAGGGCGCCTCACGCACTCACCACCCTCACGCACTCATGGCCCTCACACCACCTCATGCACTCGTCGCCCTCACGGCCCTCACGGCCCTCACGCCTCTCACGCCTCTCACGCCTCTCATGCCACTCACTGCTCTCACGCACTCATGGCCCTCACACCCCTCACGCACTCACCGCCCTCACACCACTCACACGCTCATGGCCCTCACGCCACTCACCGCCCTCACACCCCTCGCGGCCCTCACGGCCCTCATGGCCCTCACGGCCCTCATGGCCCTCACCGCCCTCACGGCCCTCATGGCCCTCATGGCCCTCATGGCCTTCACGGCCCTCACGGCCCTCATTGCCCTCACGGCCGTCACCGCCGTCACGGCCCGCACGGCCGTCACCGCCGTCACGGCCCGCACGGCCCTCACCGCCCTCACCGCCCTCACAGCCCTCACGGCCCTCACCGCCCTCACAGCCCTCACGGCCCTCACGGCCCTCACTCACCCTCACACTCATGAATTTTCCTGGTTCAGAAACTCACTCACCCTCACCTCACCTGTGAGGATGAGGGTGAGTGAGGGTGAGGGAGGGCTCTCATGAGTGAGGTTTGCCGAGGTATGGCTCTGACTGACCGCCCACCGCTCGATTATGCCACACTAAGCCCACCGTTCCGACTGATTGCCCATTGCTCTGACTGGCTGCCCACCGCTCGCTTATCGGGTAGAACACGAGAGAAAGGCAATGTCTTTCTCTTATGTTCTACCCGCATACCCAGTCTCGCATGCCGTTGCAGAAGTCGGCATAGCTTCCCTCGTCTCGGCATATTGGCGGCATGTACTGCGAGTCGTTCCAAAAGCAGACCGAGCAGCTGCGCCATTAAACCTGCAACAAAAGTTTCTCGCCGTCTTTCTGATACCTTACCTTCTCTTTACAGACCACTTAAAAAAAAGTGCTTTCTAAATTACTACTCCAATCTTCAAGAGGGTGCACCTACCCACCTAGACCCAGGTTTGTGTTTGGTTTCTAAATACGTCCTAACTTATTTTCGATGATTCTGCTTTTTAGCATCCTCTGCGTAACCCAAATTGTGCACATATATTGCATACCATTGTACCACGGATGGCAAGAAGTATGGAAGTTGGTGTCAGGGTGCCGGTAAGGTGCCTGAAACGCGTCTCACAGATCGGTGTGCTTAGCGTCCTATTTCGCCCATGCATCGAAAGCGATCCCAAAGTGGCAGCAAACGACGTGGCAAAAACCAGGGTGTGACGCTGTCGGACGTCGCAATCCCGTATCGTCGTAGAAATGCCGACGAACAGCATGAGCAAACGTGAGTGTCGCTGTCATTACGGTGTCACGTGCAGCAGAACGGACGGCTGTCACATCCACCCCCGCCACCGTGACGCCACCAGGATCGTGGCTGGTGACGGCGTGACACTTCTACTACTTGGTTGGACGGAAACGAGGGACTACTTTTCCGGACGCGATTCACGCACTGGTCAGAGTCTCGTTCCAGGCACCACAGTGCTGGGAAAATGCAGACGTATGTAGCAGTGTAACGAATAGAAAATGGTAGACGACGCTAGACCCGGAAATGCGAGTTTAATTGGGTGAACGCCTTCCTGCAACTAGTGGCGTAGCTAGGCCATCTGGCACCTGGGGCCCTTATAGCTTTCGTAGCACCCCCTCGCCCTCACCCCCCCTTCACTCCCCGAGATCGCAACCAACCAGTAAAGCGAGAAGGGGAGGGCGGGGGGGGGGGGGGGGGGGGGGGGGGGGTGCCGGGTGTTGTTACGTGACCGGGACGTCTGGTACCCAGGGCCCATCAGCCCCCTCGGTTGCTACTCCACTGCCTGCAACTAAAACAGAAGGTGCATGTACGTCTTGCGACAGCGACGGAAGGGCGGCCGACTCGGTGCGTCCGTTTACGGGTTCGTTTGTTCGGGTTACAATTTCGAGAACATTCTGGACAGGAACGTTCTAAACAAGATCGTCGCCGGAACGGCCTTGCTCGCAAACCTCCAGTCGTGCAATCGCAAATTCTTTGTATATGGTTTAAGCTACGCCGTGCGTCCATGCCAGAGAATATGAGGCCACGTTTGGCATGTTGTCATGTTTTTTGGGGAGCTGGATTGAACATTGTTTGCATAGAGCAGATTTCCAGGGGAAGGGGTTACTTGTTATCTTGTGATGAATTCTTTTGTATATGCTAACTTTGGAGACTCTAAATAACGTTGAGTTTTTATTTTGACAGCACTGGCAATATGTTCAGAGTAGTCTTTCCTGCACCTACCCTTACATCCTACTATAGTCCTACACCAGGATTATGGAGGGGAAGTGCTCCAATATACGGGGAGTAGCAAACCATCAATTTAATGTACTACAGTATAGACCACTTACAATGTAACCGCTTATAGACGCTTTACACACGCGCCAGATTGAGCCGCCATAGCCGCCCTTCTCATGTCTTACCGAGATGCCGAGCCACTGAAGCGGGCGTTGACGGGTCTTCACAAGGGCCTATGCTGGGCACAAGAATACAGTAGCATCTAAATTGTCAATAACCTGTCCTGCTGTGGCAATGATGAAGTGAAGCGAACGGAATAAGAGGGAACAAAAACTGAAGGTCAGTTATGGCGGCGCCCATGCACAGCTGCTGCAAAGCGTCTATAGTGCAGGACCGGGTATAACGCGGCTTTTTTAAACCACCGGTTCGCTTCCCATAGAACTCCATGTAATTACATACCGCTTAAAATGCAGGCACGCAAAGGGATCGAAATACCGGTTATAGTGCAGTTTTCGAAACAGCCCGGCGACCGCGCCGACTGACCGACGCAGAGAGCACGCTTCCCTGTGCGACACTAGATGACGGCGCGAGCCACAAGCGGCACTCGCGGGGCAAGGAGGTTGCTCGAGGAAGCGGGAAGAAGCGAAGAGAGAGGCTTCAGTTGCCATAGCGACGGAGAGATGCACGCACGTGTCGCTCACGTGCGTGCGTCCCTCCGCTGTGTTGGAGACGTTGTAAACAACCACAACGACAGACCAATCGCAGGTCGAGAAGTGTTCGCGCGCGTTGCATTCCGGTCACGGGCCGGCCGGCCGGCTGCTTCTATCCGCAAACATGGTGTCGGTTTTGATCGTCGACGTAGACGGCGTGGTAGAAGCTCATTGTTCCGCGTAAAAAGCGCTATCCTTGACTGAATTTTCGTTGTGCGTCGCTATGATAACCCAGCACGTACTAGAGGGGAAGATCCACC